CCCCCCCCGGGGGATATTACTGCAAAAGTATGAGATAATGATATAATGCGCAACAACAACAGGAAAGATGAGAATACGGATATCATAAGCATTACATACCGCAATAACTATAATGACATTTTAGTGTTATTAGGTGCAATATTGATACAAACAGGTAATATCAACGAATTAATGAAAACTAGCATGATGTTAAAATAGACAATATGCCAAATTGACTGAAATGTCATACCACTGTTACCAGCGCCCCCGTTTGTCGATAATCTTATTGAAAAAAGTTACGAATATATACATCATAAAGTTACACTACATATAGGATATATACGTAGCGCAGTTAAGAAAAAACAGCCAGATACGAAAGCGAAAATGATACAGAATAATATTGCCGAACATGAAAAGCCATGATAAGAAAGCAGACATCATAAGCATTGCATTATAAATTGGTTACTATGATATTCTAGTATACACTTTGTATGAGAAGACAGACTACAGTCTACATGTAATACGCTATGCTAGTATATAGCGCCAACCAACGGCAAAATAACATGTTTTTCTACTGGCGTTGCGGGGAATTGTGATATGGAAAAGGTTGGGCTGCTTACAATTATAAACGGCGGGCATTCGGATCCAGATTTTTCACGTTGCAAAACTCCCGAATACGTCCTCTTTATTTTAAATGCATAATCCCGACAAAATGAGAATTGTTTGGAAATAATAGACGTGCAAATAGAAGGTCTAACGCCATTATCTCTCCACGTTTCAATAGGGTCGGGCAACTTTGCGCCTCATAAAATTATAAAGAAATATAACATCTAAGACATCGACATATAACATCGATAACATAACATAACATATATAACATAATATAAGATATATAACATCGAGATATTTGACATCTAGCTACTTGTAAACATGTCCCCTGGTACATAACACACCTAATTACCTCTAAGCTACATACGTACATGTTTCTGCTGGCATCACGTACACGCTAGCCTCTGTTGCGTGGCACTTGCGTCGGGCAAATAGAAATTGTAAAAAAATGAAAAATTTCGCTCGATGTTGCAGGGGTATTGACATAAGTAAGATAATTTATCAGAAGCGTAGGGAAACAGTTACAGTCTAGGGAAGGGACAGACGATTGAGGTTTGGGAGGATTAGCTAGTGAAGAGCCTCGCTGGTCTGGGACGAGGGTGTGTTTGTATTTCATATCATAAAGTCGGAATTTGTTCCTCGTGTGCACAAGCCTGCAGGACGGTCGCACGAATGTGACGAGTATACATTTTACATAATAGTTATGGCTCTGGAAACGAAACATGGTTTTGTCGACTTATATCCTATCAGTAAGAATGCGTTTTGAAGAATTATTATTTAAGGTTAATATATTATTCATTATTATTATTATTATTATTTCCAAAGTGGATCACGGCAGTAGCCGGTAGTTTTGGGGGGTTGGCCGTGTCCCAACCTGAGACATAGGGATTCAATCAGGAATTTTTCGCTTATTATCACCGTTATTATTATCATTATTATTGTTGCTGTTGTTGTTTTTATTTATTTATTTATTGTTTACATCTGTAAGTATGCCGTCATCATTACAGGAGCAAGACTTCAGCGCAAGCATGCAGGCTTCACCGCGGTTCACCGCATTGAACAGGCACATCCTCGTGCCAAGCGTGCCAAATGCAATACGTCACGAGCCTGTGATCAACAACCAATCACGTTCGAATGGAAAAAAAACGCTCGGGAAACGCTGGAGTCATTATCGAAAAAGCGAAGTGCAAATAGAAATCCTAGATTATTTCGCATCCGACTCGTGCGCGGGAGCACTCGTTCGGAATTATAACATTTCCGTATCGTGTTTTACATTTAATTAACGTTTGCTTACACAGCCGTAGCTTACGCAACCTCATACCAGCGATAATAAAATAACTGTTGAGTTCCTGGATGCGCGAAAACTAAGATGGCGGATCCGATACCGATTAGCTATGCAAGCGTCAGGAACTGCGCCATCAGATTTCTCACGGCTTGTGATTACTAAGTATATATGTATAATATATATTTTATATATATATATAGGCCTATATATAGAGAGAGAGAGAGAGACAGACAGACAGTTACAATTAAAAAATAAAATAATGTAGTAGGTCTACATAAGAGGATAATTAATAGAAGACAATATCAGAAAAATATAATATGACAGGAACACAATAATAATATTCACCATATTAAGTACTCCTGTATATATATATATATCTATAGTATATATAATGTTTGTATATATAAACATACACATATACTATTCGACCAGTGCAGTATACATCCCCCTAGAACTCTGGTCAAGTGCTGGCAGGCTTCTCCGCTGTTTAACGAATCGAACACGCGCGCGAAGGTACACACACATACGCGCGCGCCAGCAGCAGCAGAGTACAAAACACACGCCGACTCTCCGTATAGAATTTCGTCGTCTGCCGTGTTGACTAAGGTAATGGAAGCCAGGGTTGCCGGCGACGGCTTTGTGATGGGGGGAAGTTTTTTCGCAGGGCCCCCGTAAAGCGACACCGGTCGTCTGCGGTGTTTGCACGGCGGCTGCCTTGTGAGAGAGCGAGCGAGAGAGAGAGGAGGGGAGGATGGAGAGAGAGAGAGAGAGAGAGAGAGAGAGAGAGAG